CAACTCCGGGTGCCTGCCTGCAGGTGGTCATTCAACTCCGAGCGCCCACCTGCAGCCTGGCAGGTGGTCATTCAACTCCGAGCGCCCGCGTTTGATGGTCATTCAACTCCGAGCGCCCGCTTTTGATGGTCATTCAACTCCGAGCGCCCGCCTGCAGGTGGTCGTTCAACTCCGAGCGCCCGCGTTTGATGGCTCTCTTCCTCCGAGCGCCCGACTGCCACACCCCGAGCCCGCACCCTCATTACCTTACCCTCCTCCGAGTTCTCCACCGTTCAACGACATCTCGGGCTTGTTTTATGCGCGTTTCTACCCTCTTTCTAACGAGCCGCCCCGTTTCACCATGCGACCCGCCGTCGTCCCGCTGCACGTCGTCTTGTGCGACACAAGATCGCCCCCCACATCACCTACTTGATGCTCCCATCTCTTGACGGTTCGGAGCTCGTTTTTGACGCGGTTAGGTTCGTTCTCTTCCCCTCTTCAAGGCCGTTTCGATGCACCTTTGCGCGCGTTGGTACGCCCAGCCAATTGCCCATGACAGCTGCCGCATTGCCACCTTTTTGCCCTATCTGCATCTTCCTCAACCCCCGCGATCTTGAGCACCACGGCCACATATCCCGTTCGTTCCGCACGCATTTTGGTACGCGTGCTCCCCTCATTACCCCGCATATAACGCGCCCTCGACGCCGCGAAAACGCGCAGCCGTTCACCCGCAGCAACCACTGCTCTCTCCACACCGCCTCCAGCCATCCTCAGGCTTGGACTCGATGCGCCGCTTTCCCAGTTTTGCTCCGATCGCACTGAAAATCGGAGCTCAGATTGCCCTCATCAATTCCTTTCAAACGCGCCCACCTTCGTCTCGCCCGCCGCACTCGTTCGCCCGCTGTGCGCTGTGCAAGACCGCCTGAAATCAGCACTCCCTTCCCATCTTCCCAATGCTCGATCTCGCCCACTTCGCCACCTAAGAAGACGTGGATGGGTTCATTCGTCGCGCGTCATCAAGCCCTTTCGATCGCGCGCTTGGATGTAGCAGTCGGAAGAGATTTGCGCCATGTATGACAGGATATGTGTATGTTCAGCTTACCTTGCCCCCTCCTCCTGCCTCCCCCAGTCTTGCCCTCGCATCTTGCCCGTTCCATGTCCGTTTGGCGTGCGTTTTGGTGCATAGGTTAGCATATATCCCCTCGTTTTAACGCCACCTTACACATTGTGATCTGTGCCTTCCATGATGTTATATTTTGGTGCTCAGCACCTGTTTGATCTGACCTATACTGTATACACTATCAACCCCCTCAGTCTCCCTCATTTTTTTGGAATGAAACTGTACACCACATATGAATGCAGTGCTGCACACTGCAGCATATTGATATGAGTTGGTCTACCTGTACTGGACACCTTCTCCCTGGGAAGTCACCCTTCACAGCAGCATGTGTAGATGGTAATTCACCAAGCTGTTTTCTATATCAGAGAGTAGCTTGTAAGATCTGTGGGTGTGCAAATTTGGAAGACAGTAGCTGCAACAGTGAGGGAATAATGAGGTATGATATTTTAAAATGACATACCACACACAGACATGGGATAATAGTGTATCACATTCCGGACACCTAGATATATTCACAGACAATATTCTGAATGCAATGCAGAAGATAGCGCACAGAAATCCGGATACTTGGTGAAGATACAAGATATGTGTGGAAAGTGGAAGTTCTGAGAAAACACGACATGTATAAGTTCATGTGCAGACATGATATCAACGGGCTGTTTGCTGAATCACACCTGGATACTATTAAGGTGCTCAGATCGGAATTTATACGCTTATCGGTGATGAGATGCATGTGGGGGATCATATGTCATTATTTTATGACATACGGTACCCTGGAACGACATGTGCTCCGATTAGAATTCAAAAACATGGATTAGAATGGGGTACGTCTCGGCTATCCAACACAGAAGAGACCTTGAAAAACGGTTGAGAACCAGTGGAGATGTGCAAGATGAGCCAGAAGCTTGGTTGGAGTAAAAAGCGAGGTCAGAACACATTCAGCATAACCCACACTTCTGGCTCATCTTGCACATCTCCACTGGTTCTCAACCGTTTTTCAAGGTCTCTTCTGTGTTGGATAGCCGAGACGTACCCCATTCTAATCCATGTTTTTGAATTCTAATCGGAGCACATGTCGTTCCAGGGTACCGTATGTCATAAAATAATGACATATGATCCCCCACATGCATCTCATCACCGATAAGCGTATAAATTCCGATCTGAGCACCTTAATAGTATCCAGGTGTGATTCAGCAAACAGCCCGTTGATATCATGTCTGCACATGAACTTATACATGTCGTGTTTTCTCAGAACTTCCACTTTCCACACATATCTTGTATCTTCACCAAGTATCCGGATTTCTGTGCGCTATCTTCTGCATTGCATTCAGAATATTGTCTGTGAATATATCTAGGTGTCCGGAATGTGATACACTATTATCCCATGTCTGTGTGTGGTATGTCATTTTAAAATATCATACCTCATTATTCCCTCACTGTTGCAGCTACTGTCTTCCAAATTTGCACACCCACAGATCTTACAAGCTACTCTCTGATATAGAAAACAGCTTGGTGAATTACCATCTACACATGCTGCTGTGAAGGGTGACTTCCCAGGGAGAAGGTGTCCAGTACAGGTAGACCAACTCATATCAATATGCTGCAGTGTGCAGCACTGCATTCATATGTGGTGTACAGTTTCATTCCAAAAAAATGAGGGAGACTGAGGGGGTTGATAGTGTATACAGTATAGGTCAGATCAAACAGGTGCTGAGCACCAAAATATAACATCATGGAAGGCACAGATCACAATGTGTAAGGTGGCGTTAAAACGAGGGGATATATGCTAACCTATGCACCAAAACGCACGCCAAACGGACATGGAACGGGCAAGATGCGAGGGCAAGACTGGGGGAGGCAGGAGGAGGGGGCAAGGTAAGCTGAACATACACATATCCTGTCATACATGGCGCAAATCTCTTCCGACTGCTACATCCAAGCGCGCGATCGAAAGGGCTTGATGACGCGCGACGAATGAACCCATCCACGTCTTCTTAGGTGGCGAAGTGGGCGAGATCGAGCATTGGGAAGATGGGAAGGGAGTGCTGATTTCAGGCGGTCTTGCACAGCGCACAGCGGGCGAACGAGTGCGGCGGGCGAGACGAAGGTGGGCGCGTTTGAAAGGAATTGATGAGGGCAATCTGAGCTCCGATTTTCAGTGCGATCGGAGCAAAACTGGGAAAGCGGCGCATCGAGTCCAAGCCTGAGGATGGCTGGAGGCGGTGTGGAGAGAGCAGTGGTTGCTGCGGGTGAACGGCTGCGCGTTTTCGCGGCGTCGAGGGCGCGTTATATGCGGGGTAATGAGGGAGCACGCGTACCAAAATGCGTGCGGAACGAACGGGATATGTGGCCGTGGTGCTCAAGATCGCGGGGGTTGAGGAAGATGCAGGAGCAGCAGTGATTTCCCTGTTACAACTGTTGTGACAGCTTATCGGCAGGGCCAGATGCACCCGGAATAAGCGCCCATTGCGTGGGAGCCCGTAAATGCTACAAGCGCCCGAAACAATGGAGGCGCGGGAGTCGAACCCACGGCCTACACAGTTGTAGCTAGTAATCTACACCACTACACCATAGTCCTTTTCATATGGGTGGCTGTTTACAGGTTATACCACCTTATACATGGCTCAAGCCTTTGAATGCTCCACAGAACGCGGCCACAACACATGAGAGGGGTGCCATATGCGTGCGAGAAATACGCTCAATTCGTTCATCATATGGCACAACACTTTAAAGAGAGTAGCGCACCCGAAAGAACAGACTTGCGTGTGGATTCCATGAATTGAAAGTCGAAGCACACGATGTACGCGCACAGTAGACCATGCACGCTGGGGCTGCATGTAGATATAGAGGATATCAAGATAATGCGTACAAAGACGTAGCTCCGCTCGCGGCTCCCACAGCGTGTGCATGGGTGTAGAGTGGACAGCAGGCGCGAGACTTTGTGCGTGCGAAGGATGCAGTGCGAGGGCACCACGCGCGCACGTATCATGGCTTTGTGCGGTAGGTGCGAGGGCTTGCGTGAGGGTCGCGGGCCACGCGTGAATGACAAATGAAAAGTAGTATATTTGACAAAGCTGAGCCAAAGTAATGTACATGCAGGAGAGACATGCGCAACCAGACAAAGCGTGTTAAGTGGGGAACACAGGCACTCTCGCGATCTCGTGCACGCAATAGTCCGTGTGGCGCGCGCGAGCCCGTCGCGAGAGTCCATGTGGCACGCGTGAGCCCGTCGTGATAGTCCGTGCGGCGCACGCGAGCCCGTCACGAGAGTCCGTGTGGCGCGTGTGAGCCCGTTGTGGTAGTCCGTGCGGCGTGCGAGAGTCCGTGCGGCGCACGAGAGGCGCCACTCCGTGAAACTGAGCGGTGGCACCTTCCGGAGCAGTATCATCTATGAGGTGATAAGTATGGCATAAGGATGTAGAAGAAGAGGGGCGTATATACTATATTGTGAGTACAGAGGTAAGAGGACATGGTGTACAACGGACGAGAGAGAGACGATATGGTCTTACTACAGACGGTAGCCGTAGGAGCCGAGACATTGTTCGGGTTTGGGAAAGGCCCCCTTTGAAACCTCCGCATCGGCGTACGCGTAAGCATGGCGAGCTGTGAGCGAGGCGCCAGGAATGTCGGCCGGGGTATAGGGATGGCGTGGGCAATCCAAGGGGTGTTGTAGCCGCTGCAAGAGGGCGTCGGGATGTCGACGACTATGGACATTTGGATGGTCCTCTCCCCCGAGCCCAGGACTAGGAGAATGGTGCGAGACCGCGAAGCGACTTCGGTGCATTGAGGAGCCGGTGGATGGAGGAAGCGCAGATGACGAGGCGGCAGATAAAGAAGCAGGAGCACGGAAGTGAACGGGAGTGACTTGGAATGGGTGAGATGCGAGATGAGGAAACCTCTACTAGTCCATGTCGAGGTCGGGAAGTCCGAGGGCGGGTTCCAGTCCGATTCGTCTGTGAAAGGATGAGTCTTTTTGGGAGGTGGAAAATGCGCACGAACGGGTCTTCAGGCCATGTAGCCTTCTTGCAGCCGTCGAACAATACAGATACCTATGCGCTTGCCTGACAGAAACTCAGCGAGGTGGATGATGCTGGAGAGAGCACTTACTTTTTAGCATATGCAGCCTTGCCTCGTTTATGGGAGCGTTCATGCAGTTCTGCCTTCTGCAACCAATGCTGCCTGAAAAAGCCGAAGAACACCGCAGTTCTCCACATCTCACGCCGCAACAGCTTGCGCTCCTCCCTCCACCTTGTGAGCATCGCATGTATGCGGAACCAGTGGACGCTCTCGACTGTAAACCCATATTAGCTGAAGTAGTGAATCCGGGCAGGATACTTACTCTGATCCTTGTAGCGCTGATGTGCGGCCGTCCCAGCCTTGTCGACGACGGAAAGACTGTCCCAGATCCACGACCGGTCCCCCTGAGCTGAAACGACCATCGCCTTCAGATCGTTTTCTTCGAGCGGATGGACTGCGGGGTCATCCAGTGGCACACCTAGACGGAGGAGGCATTTCACAACCCTTCGGTACTTGTTTGCTGCCGCTTGGACGTCGCCGCGAGCTGATCCCATGGTGGACGAAATCTCTTTGCGCACCCTCTTGCTCCGTGCGTGCTTTTTGCTGAGTTTCACGGAGAACGAGAGGATCAACGCAGAGCGGACCTCATCGAGCGCTTCCCGGGCCTCATCTCGTCGCACCTTGATCTCTGCTGCTACAAGAGACGCAGCTGGGGTCTGCTTCAGCACAGCTTCATGGAACGAAGAGGGAAGCGCAATATCGGCATTAGAGACCTCTTTGAACAAGGAGGCCTTACGCTTGGCACGCGGGACCTTCATGGCAGCTTCAGGCAGTCGAGGGAAGTCTTTGGGAGCGTCCTCTTCCGGGATCATAAAGGCTGCGTCTTGTAATGCAGGATGAACGTGGGCGTCCCAGAGTGGGGACCACTTCGCATAGCGCTTGAGGAAGTCCGCTTGCTGCTCCACCACACTGGACGAGACCCTGCCCTTGCACATGATGGCTGCGAGGAGTGTTTCACTGCATATCATTTGAGTGCATGCAACAGCGAGTGTATGAAAACCCACCGTTCTGCCTGGAGCTGAGCACCCTCATAGAGGGTTTGCAGAATCTTTTCCTCCCGACGGGTCGTCAATGATGCCTTCGACGCCTTCCGGCTGTTGGTCGCATCCTTTGCGTCCGTCACTGATGGGATATGCACTCATTCATACGTATCACTATCACAAGCTTGAAGACGCACACACCTTTCTCGAGATTGATATCATAGGGGTTCTCGAGTCCGTCGTGATTTGCCAAGTCCACCACCGCGATTTTGAACGCAGCCTCTTGCTCCTTGAGCTCTGCAAGCCGTTCGGCAGTGAACGTGGCCTCGATGGCCTCAAGATGGCGCTCGAGGTCTGCGATGAACTCTTCGCTGGTGTTGTACCTTCTCGACAGGTCCAGACCTTCATCGACTGTCAGTGCACAATGACCGAAGAACCCATCAAGACATACCCATTGTGTGCAAATGGCGGACATTCTGGTCGTTCCAGATGTCATTCAGCGCATCATGACGAGATCCTGGTCCCATCTCCCGTATCCGTGTGGCCAGCTGGTATATAGCGGCCCACATCCGTTCGGACGCTTCACCATCGGTACGTGCAGCGCCAGGGAGGTAGTTGTAAGAGAACTTGTAGCGACAGCTTGCTTGATGAGCAGGTAGGTGGAACTTGCCAACGGCGACAAGCATGTAAGGAAGTTTCTCCCACTCGGCGACACTGGGGAGGCACCCCATGAGCTCCGACCAGGTAGACATGAGCTTGTCCATCCGCGTGTCATAGTTCCGGTGATATTGACAATTGATGTCATAGCCGGAGATGAGCATCGGGAGGGTGAGGTACGGCTTGATCGCACTGGCTTCACTGAGGTCTGCGTACTTGAACCTGTTTCTATATGAACATTGTGGACCGATCTGCAATCGGATGAGGACTTACGCTTCACCTTTGGTCAGGTCGACAACACTGTTTCTCATCGTCATCATGTGTCGGGAGCATGTCATTGCGAGGAGTCCAGAAACAGTACCAGCATAGCGCTGATATCCCATGGCCCCGAACTTGTTGCATGTGGATTCCTGTAATGCGTGAGCTCATGCGCACAGGCTCTTATAGGACACGTACCTCTGCGGGAGCTTCCGCCTCTGCATCCTTGAGAATGGCCGCCGCCTGTTCCTCGTGGACAAAGAACGCTCCGTTGCGTGTCATAGCCTTGTCGTGTGGATCGACAGCTTTCATTTTTTGAAACTGGGAGAAGGTTGCGTCTTTATTATAGAAGAAGGCGTCGAGGTATCTACAACGGCATCAGTCTGGGGCTCGCAGGCTAAGATGAAGAACTCGCCTCTTATCCTCGCCCTCATCTTGCTTCTTCTCGTTGAGATCGGGCGGCTCCGGGACAGTGTTGTTGATCCCTGGCTGCGGACACGAGGAACACAGGGTGGCGAGGACTCCAGCTTCCATCTCGCCTCCCGGGTCGACTCCATTTCGCTTGGTCAACCTGACGAAGGCGTACTGGCGCATCGAAGCCCGCAGTTGTGCATATCGATTCTATTTGGATATGGACTCATCGTCAGATTATGCACGCGACTAAACATAGGGACCCTCACCTCAATCTCGTGCGTTCGAATATTGTCCTTGCTTCGTGCGAGGTAGTTCCAGATGTCGAGAACGGATATTTGCGACTGCAGGGATAGGAGATGAAAGTCACGAAGGGCGGAGATGGTGAAAGCGGTACGTGGCGTGTCCCATGTCGCGGGCCACAGCCCGGCTTGGATGAGCTGCATTGACTCGTGCATTGGCTCTTGCTCGAAGGAGGCATGCGTGCAGAAGGTGACCTCAAACGTCTGCGGACCGTGCGAGTCGACGATGGTCATAGCCCTTTTTTGCTGTGAGGCGAGCGAAACTGGACAGGGAAGGCCACCGTGACCGAGGTGAAGGACGAGGTTGTGTGGGGAGGGCAGTTCCCCAAGGCCCACGCGGTCCCAAAATCCAATGGCTGGGTCCCACTGCTCCACACGGTGATAGGGGAGCCTGCAGTGTTGGGCGACGATACATGTAATGCATAGGGGCAACGGGTACATGCAGTCAAAACATCGGTATACGTGTGTCGCCGCCCTGCGCGCGTGCCAATCTGGAAAGCGCAAGATGAGCACGGCAGGGCGGCGGGTCCAGCCTCTTGTTCTAACAACGCGTCTTGAACGCGGGAGGCCCACTCGTTCTGGAAATTTGCCATGTGTTCCGCGGCCGTCTGTGACACGGTCACTATATGTTTGTACATACGGGCAGCTGGACGTACCGTCTGTTTCTTTCTCTTCTTGGCCTCTGACGACTGGTTCACCGTGACGTCTGAGTTTGAAGGCGGCCCATCGTATACGCCGCCGTCGTCATCGCCGTCTTCGTCGTCATCGCCATCATCGTCGTCTTCGCCGTCATCGCCGTCTTCTTCGTCACCA